GTAGGCATTTGAGATTGAAAATGAGTAAAATACATACAAATAAGTTTCACAATTATATAAAAAAAAATATATTTATATATATTTTTGTTCTAGGGATATACCAACTCTAACCGCACGAAAACTACCAAAGAACTTCTTGGCAGCAGTGAAGAAAATACCTAACCTCACCAAATTGTAAGTATTAAATTCAAATCATTTCTCTTCTTCAATCATGTAAAATGATGTAATTTAATTTATCATAAAGAATGTGATATTAGGGGAATATTTTCAAGTTTGTGTTCTTAGTTGAACCTTTTATATGCCTTATATATTATATTTTGTTTAATTGTTACATAACTTTTGCGTTTTTTTTTCAAAACTTTGTTCCAGGAAAATCGGTAGAAACCGTATTAACTGCAACTGCGACCTCATGGACTTCGTGGAAGAACGTGGAATTGATTTGTCTGCCGACGGTGTTGTTAGTGGTTGTCTCAAGAATGAATTCGACGAGGATAGTTATTCGATTGCCGAATTAGCTGATGTTTGCGGTAGGTTGCTCTGTCGTAGATTTGGCGGCTGTGGCGAGTGACAAAACATCTAGTTCACGTCATGAAAATTCAAAGACGGTGTTTGAAAATCACATTTTTAACAACAGTTGATCAAAATGTGATTTGTGTTTTATTTTAAGAGTACGTTAAATATAGAACTTAGTTGACAAAAAAAATAGGTGTTTTGCAACGTAAATTTCCTGACATTTTTACCATAGAAACGGCATAAATATAAAATCTTTAAATTGAAAAAAATCTACTGCTACTATAATATCGCCTTTCTATCGCAAATGTTTGTTGATGTGAGTAACTGTTTTTGAAATAATAATTGATTTGTTCTTTCTCTCCCCAGAGGCACGTAGACCAAAACCCACCATTATATCGGACATTACCATATTACCATCAATCGCCCGCGGCATGGTGATGAACGATACTTCCGACCCTTTCTTCGCTCACTCATCTTATGACCGTTTGCCCTCGTCAATGGCTCTCGGCGATCTTGCCGAACCAGACACGGAAGAAGTAAATTTCCGGCAATCCCGCCCATGCATGTTGTTTTAAATGCTAAAATTCGAATCGAAATTAAAAAAAAAATAATAAATGTTGACTAGTTACCAATAATAGTTGTGTCTATGTTTTTATTTTACCCATTAGTAAATCCGTCGTATCCAGTACCTATCCGGATATATCTACAAAACTATTAATACATACATTTGTGTATACCACCAGTATTTTGGATTCATGTATGAAACTTGCCGCGTTACAGATGATTTCACAATAGAATGAAAACAAATCTTGTACCGGAACTCTCCGGCGGTACGTTCTTTAAAATGTCACAACGCAGGATTATAAATTGTCGTGCCTTGTACAATAACAAAAGGCAGAAAGCTGTTAGCAGTACGTATATAGTGTATAATAGTTAGTTTTACATTGATTGCGCGCTGCTGGGGAACGCGGAACGCCGAGCGAAGAGCCGTTGAAAAAAATCGAGAAAACAACAGGAACTCAACTTTGAAGTAATCCTGAACAATCATATTTATATGCGTTACACATGCAGGGGTAATCTTGCTACACTGTTCAGGGGAGTCTCAACAACCATCCCAAAGTACCATTTTCTGAGAGTTTTCGGCCTTTGTTTAAATGCCCGGATTCCCCCCGAGAATAGTCGATCTCCAAGCTGTCGATGTCACCACTTTTCAACTTGCCCAGTAAAGATCAGTACAAGGCAATATTTTGCCAGACAACTTCACGACGCCTTGTTCGATGGATTATAAATCAGGTCACGCTTTGTTGTTTTAGATTTCAATACTGTACTTTATTATAATTATGGTACAAAAAATATTGTAAGAGTCTCGGTCTATGTGTCAGCTCCGGGAATATTAGTACCACGTGTACGGTAGAACCCCTTCAGTACACGTTCGATCCTCACGTGGGCCCTGCTTGATGTTTCTAAAGAGGGACGGTGGCCATACCATGAAGAAGATAAAGCTGGTACGGCTTTACGAGTTTCCTGTGTAATGAGAAACGGAACAATTATGAGAGATGTCGACATATAATTGGATTTGTTGGTTAAAAATTACGAAATATTCTTTAGAACGCTCAATTAATGACTAGAAAAGAAAAAAAAACCAATGGGAATAATAATTCTACCAATACTGACACTGGGGGCGCACACAATGATACGAAAGACTATTCCATGAAGTGGAAATCGAAAAATATACAATTTATATTGGTGATTGTGAGAATTTAGTGATAATTTAATGGTTGGTTAATAATCTAAATGTTAGTATAACACGTTCCTACTATGAGTAGTGCTTGCTACACGAGAACACTTCTGTTGTGCGCGCTTATAACGATTGGTGATTTTTACTAGAACGTTGACAGCCTCATAGACTCGCACAGCCGTGGCAATTTTATAATTTCTATCATTTTTCAAATCTTGAGCTTACGCGAGATCGCGTCAACACGAGAGATTCTACAAAACTCATTCTTAAAAGGAATTATCATGCAAAACAATAAAATTGCCATGACTGGTGCAGTCTAACAG